GACGCATGGTCGATTTCAAAATAACGGCCCAATGCTAAAGTGTTTACAGCGGCCTTTTTTTTAAGAGGTCGTTTAATCATAGCGGTTTTTTATTCCTAGAACATTGTCGGAAATTTGATGGGGGCTTGTAATAGTAGAAGGTCTTCTATCTGTAAAAATTCGTTAGATTTACTGCCTTAATCTTCCAAAAAGTCTCCCCAGACTGCGTCAATTCTTGTTTCGCTATCTCATCGTCGAACATTGCAATTGCATCTTGTTTAAAAAAGGTTATTTACCGACGAGAATCTTCATGACGTGAAAGTCGTAGCTCGCCAACACGCGCCAACTCTTGATATCTTCATGACGATACACACGAGAAATTGGACTATCGATATGTCACTACTCGAGCCTCTAACTTGATGATGGTCGCGTCTGAACCTCAACAAATGTTTGCCTTCACGTTTGTCAGAAACTACTTCTGACGCACGAGACTGTGAGGACTTGTCGTGGTTGATGGCACGTGTGGAGTCACAATTTCGCGAGAACATAGCCGTTATTATTGCTTCATCAATGCAAATTTGCCAAGCCAATATGCTTCAATATGCAGCGCGCTCATTCAACAGGTGTCCTGTTTATATGTTCAGCAAAGTCATTCAGCCGAGGCTGTACGGGAGCGTAAATTTGATGCCTACAGGACTTAACCGCCTTCCCCGACGTGTACTCACCACGACTATCACTTCTTGGAGTCTAGCCAGGTTTGCCTGTTAGCAGTTTTGCAAAGTTGACAAACCCAGCAAGCTTACACTGAGCACTTCTGACTTGTTACGAAGAATTTTTTGTCAATAATTTTGATGAAAAGATCACATTTTTATGAATGGTGGCGATTTCATGGAGCCACATCCATAGGCTCCAGCCGGTGTGCTGTATGAGCCGAATTTGTAAAGCTCAGTTACCCGGCGCACAGCCATCATATTGCTTCACATTTTGACTGACGTTAAACCAGTACCAATACGCATCTAGTTCGCCTTGAGTAATAAATAAAAATTTGAAGTGCTGTGCCTGATGAACTGGACACATTATGCTCGTCAGCGCTGGCCGGCATCATACAGAGTTTGAAAATTTTCTTGCTTTTGCGAGCGAAAGCTTTCTTTAAACACCTCAATGAATGGTCGGGACATTAGCCGTCATGATCAAATTTGACCGACCCGACACATTTTGTAAGGCTCTTTACGGCAAAATATTGCGTGTGTGGTCGTAAGCACACTCTTGTATTCCACGTGATACCTACATGGTACAGATGAAATCATTATGAAGTCTGTACCGACGGCCTAGTAACGCCATCGTATATTTGGTGCGCACTCACGCGCAGGGTTGGCACTTAATGTATTCATCCCAATGCGACATGTGTTGCTTCAAATCGTGTTGACCAGCCACTCGCAACCAAAACTTGTAGAACTAGTATTAGAGGCCATCTTGCTCAGACATCTAACAAAACCCATAATGCCAGGATTACTGGACACGAATGCGAAATTAATTTTATAGTGATGAGCTGCCAAATCTCTGGCGGTGTCGATAGGCCGGCCAAAGGTGCCAACACATACGCTAAAAGTATACCATTTATATATGCTGATCAACCAATACGTGGCAGTGTCTAAGTTCTCTTTTGATGTGACAAGCCAAAGAGGTGACATGTACCTCGTACAGTGTTCGGTACTTGTGCTGGACAATGCTACAGGTTGAGTGCCATATGGGTCCGTACCGTAGAGCAGTATGCCTTTGAGCCGTGGAATCGCGCGCTTTGTCAAAGTGGCATCTGAGCTTTCCGACCCCTTGCTCCCAGAAGCTTTCATCGACGCAACAAATGTAGCGTTAGACACATCTTTTTCATGTATCTCCTCACTATTTGACAACGTAATCATCGCTACATACAACAATTAATGTTCGGAGTGACGCGAACTCGCATCCACTGCCAAATGAAGCCGATCTGGCTTACAGTGTATCTCGACGTTATAAAGATATTTAGATTGCGATTTCTGCGAAAAAATCTGGTGTCGACGTCGCTGTGCGTAACTACACATGATCTGTAAATCATGAAAGGCTGTTTTGAGCTACGCTGGTGGGCCCTGAACCTGACAAGTTTATACTTTATTGCAATTGGTTTGCTGTCACAAACAGTGTAATTGTTCTTTGCTTCTTTTAGATGGCGAAATTCAAAACATCACACGTTCACGTTTATCTACCTCTATTCGATATAAATGTGAATTTCGTACAAAGGTACGAGTGTAGGTAAGATCGTTGACGGTGTTGGTCCACATCACACAGTACGTAACTCGATATAAAAAATACAGTTGCCCCGCAAATACAATCATTTACTGGTAACTGATATGTATAACCAGGTAGGTGCTTGAATTTGCATGTGGGGTACGTGCCAACGGGCTTAATTGTAGCTGTATGTTTCGGCGTCTTTGGCCGGTTTGACCGTTCCGACAGCTCTATCTAGCATTATTGTCATAACAGTCGTTGGATCGTCTGAGCTTTTCGCTCGCTGCTTCCTGAGAAAGAGTACCAGTGACAAGCTATTCCTTTTTAAGGTACTTCGCCAACATGGCTTGCCAGTGAACATTAAATCATATAAAAAACTGCATATCAAGTTTTGGCAAATTTTTATACGGTGTGGTCACCAGTTTGGTCATGCCTCCCACTGGGTAGCCAACGACATATGTTTTGAACGGACACAGTAATCCTTTTACAAATCGGTAATAGTAGTACTTTTTGCTGTTACCAAGTGCAATGGGATTGGCATGCACCCCGCACAGAGGTAGATTGAATATTAGAGTTTGGTTTAGAAACAAAGAGCTTGCCGCAACCTCATGATAAAAATGAGTTAAGATTATAGAGAAATGTAGTGCATTATTCAGCACAAACCCAGTTAAAAAAATTATTTTGCGCCAGCACCGCGGACTATCTGCGCAAGAGCCTTAGAGAAGATCCTCTACCACGCAAACTACGCGGTAATTTTGACTATCTATCTGCGGGCAAACTCTGGTGCTTAGCATCTCAAACAAAGCTTGCTGTAAAGCACGGATTTCAATCGCTAACGAAAAGGCACGTTAGCGAAATACTTTCCCGAGGAACAACTTGGACGCATCCTCAGTGACGATATTTTTGGACGCCTCATCGGGAAGACCATAAAACAAGGCCATATAAACAAAATGCCACCAATTTACCGGAATAGGCAGCCTTATCAAAGACAAGACACATACGGCATGAAATCAAATCGTTGGCATATTTGTTCGTGCAGATATGAGTTCTTTTCCACATATACAGAATGAACCGCCGGGTACATAGTCATATGTAATTCGTTTAAGTGGTTATATCATTAGCCTTGTAGAGTTTTTGTACTTGAGAGAGGTTCACTTTCACTTGGCGATAAAGTTATACAGCAAGCCTTGGAATAAAAAATGAAGATGCAAACGTGCAAAGTTATCAATTGTGCAACATATTAATTGTACAGCATATGTTGTGTCTGCCCGTTCGTTGAACATATCGCGTTATTGATTGGCGGCGTTACGACTGTGATTCTCTAAGTCGAGGCAATGAAAAGTGCAACCGCTATTAAATTGACCCCACCAGCTTATATCGCACCCCAAATTGTAATTGGTAGAATGCTTGCCATTTTATGTGGAAGGTATGGTTGCGATCATGCTGAGCGAAATACCGCAACAATTCACTTGGAGCTGAGAATGTGCATTATTAGTTTGACGTGGACATACACTATTTCAAGAAGCTACTTGTGATAGAGCGAGTAATGCCTAGCTGTATACAATTGATCACTGCTCGCAAGTGATATAAGTTTTTATCCACATCCGACTCGTCGTGCTCTGCAAGACAAATCAAAATTTATCGTCAAAAAGGCTTGTGAATAGACATGATGTAGTCTGAACAGCTGCGTCACCTGACGATTGAACACTGAAAGTGCGTTAGACAGTCCCATTGGTATATATCAGAACTCGCCGATTATATCGCTCAGACTAATCACCGATAACCGTCTATTTTAATCCGCTGTGTATAATCAGGTCGAGGGCACTAAGCAAATTTTGCCGCACCTAATTGAGTAAGTCGGCGTTTGTAATGAAGGCTGCATTTTGCTCTTCATAAGCATTTTACATTTCTTGCTGCCTTTACTCCTTTGACACCGCTATTTGCCGCTGATTGGGAATCTTTCGCCTCTCTCACCAATACCTGCTTCACATCGTCACACTGTTCTCTTGGTTGGATTTTTAGTTGTGTGACACAATATTTTGTCGCGATAAATTTGTCAGCTTTACGACGCACTTCTCGATCGAGGATAACACAAATCGTGGACCTCGCGTTATCAAGTCAAGGTGTCTCTCCAGTAAAGAGGAACAAAAACTCGTCAAATCATGAGGATTGTCATCCTTTTCCCCGCGCCCAGTGCTAAATAAGTGTTCTCAGTCATGGACTCATCCATGGCAGATGAACAGCTCAATATCTCCTCCGGAATAATTACCTATTTTGGAGACTTTACCGCCTTGCATTGTTTAAAGTCCCATAGAAAATACTCGTTTGACTTTGTTACAGCTTTCGTATGGGTGTGGAAACCACCTACCGTGGCTAAGACAATTGCAACTGAACATTGAGAACCGGTGTCTGGGGTTGATTAAGGCCTGTCTTCTCAAAGTAATGTCCCCCATCACAAATCAACGTTTTAGAGCGCATATGATACGGCGTAGTGATGAGTCATATATTTGCTGTGCGCGCTTGCTGTAAAGTAGAAAAAAGGAATGAAGGAACAATGGTTTATAGCCAAAACTCTCAGCTTCACACATGTAAGTCACTCTTTGATTCGTTTCTTCAATGGCATCACAATTCAAGTAACTCTTCATTCTTTCATTTTATTGAGGTATGAGCTTGTGTAACGACAACAAGATCATAAGTGAGCCTTTACTCAGTCCAACTAGATACAGGATGCAGATATACTCGATGTCGAAGGGACTGTGAGAGGCGCTCGAAGGTGAAGACGAAATATCCTAGGTGAACGAGTAGTTATTGTTTGACCTTATGGTAAAATCCGTGACTGAGTCGGAAATCAAGATAATTGCTAAGGTAAGAATCGGGGTGTTGTGAGGCGATAATGGTTGAGAACTACTCAAAGAGCGACAATGGGCGCACTTTATGATCTCAAAATCATCAAACAAGAGTTCAGTGTACCGTACATTCCCCAGCAGAACGGAAGGGCGGCAAAGTGCCGAAAGGCAAACGCAGAATCAGTGCGACCAGTGAGGAGAAAGCGCCACAGTATTGGGTTGCCTTGGCTGATTAGAGAGAACTAGTCCGATCTACACCTATACAAACGCCTAGCTCGGTTGAGACCACGCGCGGATCTGATTAGAATGTTACGCAGCATATTAGAGCAGAGAAATTTTGCCAACGCTTACTGGTGTGGGGCGATCATGACAGCGGCCGACATTGAAATGTGCAACCCAATACTTCCACCCCACACACACACAAGGTAATACGAAGAAATGAGCCGCGTCTGGATCACGTGTGAGTGTTTGGGAGTGAGTGCTCCGCACATGTATGTAAGGCAAAGCGCAAAAATATATATGAGTTGGGTGTGATGTGGATATACCAAACAGTACAAGGTGTGTCGACTACTCAGTGCTGCTGATGGATCGAACATTATCTCCAGCAATTTAACCAATGCTGAGTACCCGTCGAGGAAGGCATCGAAGGACAACAGCAAAGGTGTAATCGGCATTGTCATAACAAAGAAGTCGAGGACACGGCAGAGAATATCGACGTCGATAAAGGCATCCGCACATCAACAATGAATCCGCGTGGTGAATTAACTCAGAAGAAGTCGATAAGTCAGTGTTGACGATAGACTCGGCATGGATAGAGAAAAAGAAAAATAGGTTAAACGACCGGAATGCAAGAGGTATGATGTGGTCCGATATCAAGAAAAGTGGCGACGACAATTCAACCAAAATGACTTTGGATACCTAAGATCTGCATTATTATCGAGGTCGACGATGAAGAGAGCGCTGTGTCATAT